GTAAATAACTCTTTCTCTCAAATCTAGAGGTCTCAACAAAAGTCATCTAGCTTCTAGGAACTACAACAATACGATCTTAGGGAACAAATAATGAAAAACCTCACCAAATACCGACGAGAATTGGTTGTCGAACAACTCCGGGATCTTGCCTCTGCATCTCTACCAATACACAGCCCTCAGCCTCTAATTTTCGTGCACCTACATGTTCTGGCCGCCACCCAATGTGCAACAACACAAAAGATAACCTAAAAACGCATAGAACTACGAATTTATATCATAGGCACAGTGGCATGGCACTACGGACGCAAAAGAGCATCCACACACATCTAGAGAGCGCTGTGGCGCTATCCCTAGCGCCACGACGCTCCTTCACCAACTTGACCCTGTAGCTTGTTTCTTCATCTGTTTTTCATCCTTCTTCATCCGACTCATCYCGACCTAATCTTGACTCGTTCCGACGTCGATTTGCCTCCACCAATCCCGACACATACTACATATAATTACTTCTACTCATATGTACCACACAAACGATCCAAATATACATAAGAGATCATTTTGTGACATCTACAAAATAGACTATTTATCCAGACGGATTGTCCCCAACTTTATCTCTATATTATAATTTTTTTAATTTTTACATCCCTAAATTAGATCCCTCTCGTATATACAAGTTGAAGATTGCGTCCAATAACTCACATGAGCATTTAATAATTTAGATATAGATTAAAGATAAGAAGTAGTCATCTTATTTATGTTCAAAATTTCTATAACAAGATTATAAGGATATAGATCAATAAATCCCAATACACCTCTCAACTTAACTATTATTTTTCCCCTTGAAGCTTCTAGTAAAACTCTAAGTTTTATGATCTTAAAAATAAATTTGAATTCTAAGTCAAATTTAAATAAAAAACAAATCATAAATTTTTAAAAACTACTTTTTTTTTTTTTTTTTAGTTTCAAATTTTGACTTAGACTATGAAAAGAATTTTAAAAAGGTAGATAACAAAACAAAGAAATACCTAGATGGAAGTATATTTAGAAGCTTAATTTTTAAACCATAAAATAAAATAAAAAACAAAGACCTTAGTTTTAATAACATTGTCATTTCAAATTTTTTTGTTTTTTGTTTTTTTTTTGCAAAGGATTTTCCACACTGTTTGTGATATATATTTGTGCTTCATATAAAGCTAGCTTAGGGATGTTTCTTAAGCCCAAAGCTAAAGCAAAGAGACTTAGTGACTTTTTCAAAGTTGTGATTGGCAACATTAATTGGGGAGTGCCTTGGTAAAAAGGCCTAGCTAGGAAGCCTATGTTAGGTTTATAGTGTGATGATTAATTTTCTAAGTGATTCTGGAGGGTCAAAAGAAAACGTTTTTTAAATCTAGAGTGTCCGGTAACCGATATGTATATCATCTTTTGAAATAATCAAATTGATTTGTAATCATTTTTAAAGGAGTGATTCTAGAGTTATTGAACGAAAATCATTTTTGGTAATTTAGTATTTGTAGAGTCACTTCTAGATATTGAGCCAGCAAACAAACTGGCGAGTGATTAAAATCAGTTTTATAAGAATGTGTAATTAAACACTCGGGTATTTCAGTTAACGTTATTTTTATAAAAGGCRTTTAAAGAAAAAATATTAGTTTTAAAACGTGATTAAATTAGAAAGTAGTTCAAGTAACTTATCATTTTTTCCACCTATATTTAACCTCTCATGTTTAAGTTTTCCTTTCACTATTTATATTTTTGCATTATTCATCCATTTATATACTTGGTAAAATATAGAATTAGTATCTTAAGACTTTATCTATAACCATAATTTTATATTTTTAGAAATTACGTTTTTTTTCCATAATTTTCTTTGGTATTGTTTTTCACCATCTAAGATAAATTTCAAATAAAAACAAGTTTTTAAAAATTACTCTTTTTCCTTTTTGTTTTCAAAACTTGCCAAGCTTTGATTTTAGAACCAGTCTTGATGACAAAAAATATATAGGTGAAAGTAGTATTTATAATCTAGATTTCTAAAATAAAAAATAAAAAATACTTAACAAACCGACCATAAATAATTGTTTGGCACCTAACTTTTTTTTTCCTTACAATAATTTAGAGATATGATAGATCAAAACTGGTGCCTCGAGGGAAAGGAATACATGCCTGCCAAACACCGCCACAAATCACATTCTCCACCTCATATAATTGGTACAAATGTTTAGAACGTTTTCTCTATTATATATCCGATAGATATACTGATACTTCCATCGATATTTTGATAGATCTATGGATTCGACTTCTCAAATATAATGGATTAATTTGATATTTTTGTTATATTCTAAAAATATTGATTTAAAGACGAAAAAAAATCTAAATATTAATAATAAGGATTATTTTTAAAAGAACAATAATAGGCTTGAAATATTTATACCATTATCAATTGACAATGATATTTTATCGATATTTTTATTGAAATTTAAAAAAAAAATTAAAAAGTATTATCTCTTTTTCTCTTTAAAGTGCATAATGAGTAGTTTTAGTGAYTTTACTTCAAATTATTGAGGAAATTTTGAATGAAAAAGTTATGTTCAATTATGCTTTTTGGTTGTTTGTTTTCAATTTTATAGCCAGGATTTCCACATGTATACTTTGTGATCATTTTATCTATGTATTATTATTGATAATATTTAAATATTTGTTCAAGATTGATCATTAATTATTTCAAAAATACAAAATTACCCTTCGATGTTGTACAATTTACACCATTTGAACTTTTAATTTAAGTAATTTGTCCTCGGAATTTAGAAAATTGTTGCACTTAATTAAGCACTATTATTACATCTTTATTAGTGATAACTTGAAAAATATACCATCAATATCTATTAGAGTACAAGAATTGTTACAATTAAACTCTCAATCGGTTAAAAAATAAAATTTTAGTAATTACATCTCTAAACTTTTAAATTAAAAAAAAAACTAAAACTATAATATTAATCATTAGAAATATCAGTATAACTACAATAACGTTAACAATGAAAATATTATTTCAAGTTCAATGACTAAAAATTGTTAATCAATTTATGGATTACAGTCCTTGCTTTTTTATAATCTTCCTTAGAAGTTGATGGTTATTTATTATTATTATTATTATTATTTTGAACTATCAAGTGATTATWGTCATTTTTAAATTATGAATATATATAAATAAAAGGTTGATAATTTTCGAAATACATAAATAAGGTTCTTATTTTTTAATCCAAACTAAATTATTTATTTTTACAAAATTTAGAAACAGATTTGAGATTGGTTATTGAAAACTTTTAAATTTGAATTCAAAATTTGCGAAGTTTTGTTTGATGATGAGTTTAAATAATTGATCAAATATCAATAAATATGTTTCAATTATACATTTATATGAAAAAAATCTTATTTATATGGTCTACTATTTTAAACTATAATTTTTTAAGAAGATCGGAAGAGAAAATTTATTTCCCATCCATGACACCRAAAATCGAGAGTAAATGAAATGTATCCCATGTTTTCAAAATTTGAAAAAACAAAGAAAACAACGTTTTATTATTTTTTAAAATAATTAATTATTTTGGATAATTTGAAAAACAAACCTACCAAACATAGGGTAGAGCTAAAAATTTAATTAACTCCTACAAAATTTAGAGGGTAAACCCGAGGAAAATTACTAATTTTATATACCACAAACATTTTTTTTGTCCATTAAAATATAAAAATGAAATCAAACTATTCATTTCATACCTCAATTGGGACACTCAAAGTAGACTAATGATACATAAATGAATTACAAACCATATCGGAATAAAATGGATCCTGAAATAATCATACCAATACGATTAAGAAATGCTTAAAAGAACTGATAGTATAACGACTTATACTTCTTTTTAATTTAAGCATGTCGAAGGTGTAACATGGTCGCAGGGATGCAAGGAAATGACTACTAGATATTGAATCCAAATTTCAAATCCTAGTTCAAATCTTCCGCGCGGGTGAGGTTACATTAATATATTAAATAAATGAATTTTTGAAATCATTTTATATAAAAACATTCCTACTACCAAAAAATAAATAATAAAAATAAAAACGTCAATTTTGATTTTATTTTTATCGCTATTAATCATTACTTGAGTCAAATAAAGTCCAAAAATAGGGATAGCCATTTATTTTAATTTTATTTTTAAATTTTTACAGACAGAAAATAGGGATAGTCAATGATATACTGGGAGTATCATCATTAGGATATAAACTGCCAATAACTGTATTTTTAACCTTATGCTATTGTCTATAGAAAAAGGTAATTCCATGCATATAATATTTTATATATAACGGCTACAAATTTAACATATAAAATGTTACAAAATCTAAAAAGATATAATCATGGTAAAAGGTAAAAATATACCTAAATTAGTAAATATTATAATAATTAATGATAGTAACTTTTTTTTTTGACCTCTGATATAACTTTTCGCAAAGTAAATCTTCAGTTTATAGATCCAACTCCTCTATAAACTAAATAATGTTAAGGCTAATCTATATATTATAATTATAGTCGAAATTTAGGTTAACTTGTGATTAATAATTGGATTATAATTGATCAGTATTTAAGCAAATATTAACTGAGTGATTTCTAAAATTATAATTTGATATTATTGGTAAATATTTATAAAAATATGTATGCTTCTAAATATATATTTTTTTTTCAAAAAAATGAAGCTACTGATTTAAATTTCTTTTAAATGTTATTATATATTCTTTTATGGGATGATTCTTGAATTATGATGGCCATTTATAAAGAATATTAAATGTTAAGATTAGACCATTGCCCTATAAAAACAAGTTGAGTTGCAAGTAAGTTAACTTAATTTATTTTTTTTAATTAAAAAAAACCCCAAAAACAAAAAACAAAAACAAAAGTTAACCCAATTAGTACTCCCCTTTTGGTCTTGTATGTATGTATGGTGCATTCTCTCTCCTCTCCTTTCTTCAACAATTCTCTCTCCTAAAGAAATCTATCATCTTCTTCTTCAATTTCCCACTCCCATGGCTGACCCATGTCCCAACTCATTCCCCAACTCATTCCCCAATGTTCTAAAATTCAACTCCCTCCGCCACCATTTCCCACCCCTTCCTCCCTCCTTCTCCCCGCAGCGGAACATGTCTCCTCATAATCATTACTCGTATTCCTATCCGACCCCGCCCCCGCCTTCCTCTCCGCCGCTTCGGGAGGCCTTGCCGCTTCTCGGGGGCCTGATATCCCCACCAGAGCAAGAGCAGAAAGAGGAAGAGGACGACGGGGGCGGCGGCAGGGGGTGCGACGGGTCGGTCACGATCGCGTTGCACATAGGGCTACCGAGCCCTAGCGCGGCGGAGATGGCGACGGTGATGTCGGGTTCGTCGTCGGAGATTGATCATGGTGATGTAGATCATGGTAACAATCATGACTGTGGGCAGTCCACAAAAACCCTAATAAAGGGGCAGTACTGGATCCCTACTCCTTCCCAAATCCTCATTGGTCCTACTCAATTCTCTTGCCCTGTTTGCTTCAAAACCTTCAATAGATACAATAATATGCAGGTGAAATTCTAATCCTTCTCTAATCTCTCTCTTCTTCTTCTTAATTTCATTAATTATCTCTCTTAATTGGAAAATACCCGGTTAGCAAAAATTCATCTTATTTGTTTGAGATTTGCTTCATCTCATATTTCCATTATTTTGGGTGTTGTTCTGTCTGATTAATTACGTCAGTTTTTGTCTTATAATTCTAAACTTTCTATTTTGGTCTCAGTATTTTAACCAAATCTTATAAAATCAATAACTTAATTCAATTTCCCTAAAAGATTGATGTTAATTTAACAAAATTAGGTCAGTTTTCTTGTGGCAGAGACTACATAAGATTATGACGCTGATAGCAAAATATATATATATATATATATATATATATATAAAATTGAATTATGTACTGTAAAAACATATAAATATTTCAAAGAAATGTGGTTGTATTCTTTCAAGGTGATCACTTTCCTGCCTGATATGAATCTTCACTTTAGATGTCCTTTTTTTTTTAATTAAATTTGATTGCTTCTTCCTTTGCATGGTAATGTTTTTGTGGGATTTTGAATGTTTTTCTCTCTCTAGATCTCTCTCTCTCTCCGTTTTTCTGATGCAAAACTGAGGAGAGAGTGGTACTTTCCTTTATGTGTGAATGAACATTTATCACAGGCTATGTTCTTTGTGTCTTTTAATCAGTTCATTGGAGTTTGTGCTTCAAACTCCCACTGTGTTATATTTTGAATAATCCAATGAATAATAATATAATATATAGTTTTGGTTCATACATTTCTCTACTTTCTGGTTCATGATGTTATAGATGAGAAATATGTATTTTGTTCATAAACAAATTATTGAAACTTTTCTGCATGTGTTTAATAGTATTAGCTAGGATAATCTCTAGGTTTTACACATGATATGCTAAATTCTTCTGCAGCATTTGTTGACCACTTTGATATTACTATTGGATTTTATAAACCATTTTTAAATTTTACTGTTGTGGCAGGAAGAAAAAACTTTTCATTTTATAATTGATCGTTCGTTTCGAACCAAAAACTTAAGTTGATGAGAGGTTAGAGTAAATTTAATCTTCCATGAGTACTTCAAGATTAACCGAAGATAATAGCTTGGTCATTTTTTTATTATTTACAATTTTCTTTTTCTTTGTTTTTGTGGTTTTTTGGTTCAAAAATCACAAACTTTATGTCTCTCCTTTTATCGTTTTGATTGTACGAATGACAATTTTTGTATCGTCATTCAATATAGCAAGCAACTAGGAGTCACTATGAAAATGATTTTGTTGCCGTGATTCTAAGTTATCTCGATCTTTACCAGTCACTCAATCACAACGAAAGAAACCCGAGATAAACAAATGTTGGTGTTTTTTTTTGTTGCTGTTGGGCAGATGCATATGTGGGGGCATGGCTCACAGTACAGGAAGGGGCCAGAGTCGCTGAGGGGGACTCAGCCAACGGGGATGCTGCGGCTGCCGTGCTACTGCTGCGCGCCAGGGTGTCGCAACAACATAGACCACCCACGAGCCAAGCCGCTCAAGGACTTTCGAACCCTCCAGACTCACTACAAGCGCAAGCACGGCCTGAAGCCCTTCACCTGCCGAAAGTGTGGCAAGGCCTTCGCTGTCCGCGGCGACTGGCGAACCCATGAGAAGAACTGTGGCAAGCTTTGGTATTGCGTCTGTGGCTCCGACTTCAAGCACAAGCGCTCCCTCAAGGACCACGTCAAGGCCTTTGGCAACCACCACGCTGCGTATGGTGCTGGTGCCGATGAGGATGACGAGCCTGCCTCTGAGGTCGAGCAGGACAACGACGATTGAGTAGAAAAAGGACAGACATAATAGAGAAGTTATTGAAGGAGGCTGGAACACTGTGACTGGTAGTGTCTAACGGTTATTAGAAGGCCGCCACATTAATAACTTTTCCACATAAAGAGCGGTGTTATATAAGGATCTCGATATGATAATTGATTTACAAAAGAAAGTATATATCATGAACTTACTATTACTATTATTATTATAATTACTATATGTGTAAGTAATGTGTAAGTAATTAATTAATTAATTAGGGGGAGCTTTGTTTCTTTGTTTGAGTTATCTCTTATAAATATTCCAATGTTTGCTTTTGATCCCATCAAAGGCATAGGGATCAAAACATTTGAAAATGAGAATGAAGTGTATAAACTAATCTTATATTTTCTGCTTGTATTATACATTTGAATATGGACATTATTAAAATGTTTTGAGGTATAAATTAAGCTACTGAACTTTCATTGTGTTTAATAGCTATTTTCTTTAAGGTTGTCTGTGATTAAATTATAAGTTTGGTCTATAAACTTTTAACTGTTAGTTAGGTCTATTTTAGTTTCCTCTTAACTATTAAAAAAAAATAAAGTTTTTAAGGATATCTCTAAATATTGAAATTTATGTTTAATAAATAGTCTCTGTCCATTTATAATGATTATGTGACATGCTAACTATATATATATATTATTAAATATTATGTGATGTAACATGGCAATTTAAAGGATTGGTAGATGGAGCTATTTAATTATGGAAGCACCTGCCAAATTGAAAATCTAGGTTTTGATATTAAACCCTAACCCAATCCCTATTAGTCTTTGGAAAATATTTGATTCCACAAGGATGAAGGTCAAATCTTGTCCTTACCATCATTGAAAAATTTACAGACTCATTATTCTTAAAAAAAAAAGTCCCTATTTTTTGTATTTTTCTTTCTTAATTAGTTGTCAAATATTTAATGATAGTGAAGACAATATTAGTTCTCATTGATAAGGAGCCAAATATTTACCTTATTCCACCTGTGTCCCAAGTTTAGTTCATCTCACATAATTCCTAATTAAATATAATCATCAACATGTCAAAGTGTTAAACATAAGTTTTTAATAGGAAGATGCAAAGCGAGCAAAACTCAACAGCAATTGACATATATCTCCAACTAAAAGGTTATGAGTTCGATCCTCCACTCCTACATGTTGTACTAAAAAAAGATATATTAAACACAAAATTGAAAGTCCAAAAATATAACTAAAATTTTTACTAATTTAGATTCTATATACAATAGGCTCTTAAAATTTTAGGGACCAAATTTTATAATTTAACCTTTAATTTTTAGATGGTAGATTATAAAGATTTAAGTTATTGTATCATTTACACATTCGCTATTCACAAAAACCTTATAATTATGTAAATGAAAAATAAACTAAAATAATTTTTAAAATATATATATAATTACCTAAAACATGCCTCACTAAATTTCATTATTGAGAGTAGAAAGTTATTTGGAAAAAAAAAACCCCATAAATATCCAGATTTATTTAAATAGGAAACAATGGGGAGTCATATTCTTATGGTTCTAGTTATAAAAAATTAGCTCTAGATGATAAAGGAAATGAATATTGAGTAACAACAATTTGATACTTTTATTCAAACAGGACCATTGTGTTTCAAAAAAAAAAAAATCAAGAGTTAGGGTAAGTTTTTTTTAGTACAATAACACGTGGAAGTGGGATAGATGTGGTCGAAATTAAACATATATATAAAGTCGTGAACCAGTTGAGTTATGTTCAGAGTGGCGATAGATGAAGTTATACATGTAATAATCAAAGTTAATATTAAAGGTATATAATAACCATAGTAAATATACCTAATTATTTTTTAATTTTCTTAATATTTCATTTTGAAGGAATAAATGTTAGCATTATACTCTATTTAAAATAATTTTATATGAAATTCAAACTAATATATGAAACTTTTATATATATATTATTACCAACATAAGGTCGGTGGTTCAATATCCACTAAAAAAAATTGTATATAGAAAGTATATAGTTGGTAGAAATTATTTAAAATTTTGGTAGGGAAAATTAGGGTTTAAATCTTAGTTATCAAATTTTCATGCTTATTTAATTTTTATTTTTAAATTTCGAACATTGTGTTTTAGTTTAATAATGATCTTTACATAAAATATCACATTATTTTTTGTCATTAATTTTTCAATAAAAACCGAACAAATAGACATATCCAAAGAAATTTTACTAGGTAGGATACATTAAATATGTATTTTAAAAGATTTTACAACTTTTCATTAAAAAAAAAAAGTTATATAGTAGAAGTGTGACTTTTTCTTTATTATATTTATATTACGTTTAAATTTGAGTTTAATTTGTATTTACCTATTTTTGAAAAAATTCAAACTTCCCACTATATTTGTAAAAACATATTTATTTTATGCTCTATATGTAAATGTCTCTAGCTATCCTTTTTTTATTCATTTATCTGATTTGTTGATATCTAAATGGATAAATGTTTGAACTAGCTCATAATATATATTAAAATTTAAGTTAGATTTTAAAATTAAATTAAAATTTAAGTTAACGGCAAAAAATGTAAGTTTTAGGGACAAAAACAAATATTAAAAAGTTAAAAGATTAAAATATAACATTCAAAAATTTGATGATCAAAATGATTCAAATAGAAAAGTTCAATTATTCCTCACCAAGAAACAAAAAAACAAAAAATCAAATTAATACGTACTAAACTAAGATTTTACTCCTATATTAATTTTTGAATGACTTATTTTTTTTTTATGACTCGAATTTCAAATATTTTGTTTTTTATTCTAATTTTCTATAAATAGCTTTGGAAGAATTATTAATTTAGAGTACGTTTCTTAACTTGTTTTGGATAACTAAAAATGTTTATTTTTAAATTCACAATATTTAGTAAGAAATAAACCCATTTGAAAAAAAATCGGAATTCCATTTTTGAAGAAATATTCGAGAGATTATTATCTAAAAAGTTATTTTAAAGCATTCGAAATTCTTGTAATTTAAAAATACTACTCATAAAAAATGTAAAAAATAAAAAAAATTATATTTAAGGATATATTATCAAACTCACCCTTAATCATCCAAGAAAATGAATAAATTTGTTTCCTTCCAATTATATTATATATATATATATATATATATATATATTCTTTTTGGAGAGCCAATTATATATATCTTTTAATTTGAAGTGTAGGTGGACAAATACAAATAAGATTGTATGTCTAGAAACAGGTAAAATAATAACCATGGAAAACATTAAATTGAAAAGATTTAGAGGGAACGAGTTCAAATTCATGGTGGTCACTTGGAAATTAATCAAATGCAATACAGTTGTCTAATGAGATTAGTGCGTAAATAGACGGGAACATTCATAAGTATCAAAAAAATAAAAATAAAAAATAAAAAACAAACTCTTAACTACAGTTAAATTCCACAACACTCATGATATTAACAAAGGAGGAAATACCTCTTTAGACCTTATTCTTAGGGATAAACTGAGGCAAAACTCAAAAAGTAATCAAATTTGAAAACTTTCCTCTTTCCTTTTAATTTATTTGGTTATAACAAACAAATTAAAGATCAAACACACACAAATATATCACTTTCCATCACTGTTTTTGAAGATTTGAATTGAGAGTCTCTATTACTTTTGCAAAAATATAATAAATTAATTAAAATGAATAAATATATCTGAAAATTTTCAGTTTCCCCCTTTTGCCATAAAGATATATCACACCCACAAAATTTCTGCATCAAGACACACCTTTTTTGAAGAGAGAGAGGTGTCATTGTTTAGGGTTTTTTTGTTAAAAAAAATTATTATTTATTTTTAATTTTTAATTTTTGGGGTGCTTTAATGGTGCTTTTTTTCTGTAAATAATATACTTTGAAGAGATTGATGATGAGGATGAGTGGATGCACAAGAAAGAGGGACAATATTTTGTATAAGAATGAAAGCGTGTGTGAAAGGCACGATTTTCGAGGAGAGAGATTGCAGTGGGAATGAATGGACTTTCTTTTAGAGAGGGAAAATAAATGTCAGTTTTAAGGGCCCTGCCCCTCAAGTAGTTGTCTTTGTTGGCTTAAATTGAGGCATTTTTTAATCAAATTCCCTCTACTATGATACATCCTTTCACCTTCTCTCTCTCAATCTCTCTGTGTCTGCATGTGGGGGTCTCTCTCTCTCTCTATCAATCTCTCTCTCCCCTGAGTGCAAATGTGTGTGGACAGCGACTAGCGAGCGTTCGATTTACCTTTCGAGAACGTTTTGGTTCGACATCTTAAACTTGAGAATGTAAAGTTAAGTTAGTAGGTTTAAAGGTTAAGGGTTTAGAATACTGTGTTGGGTTGAGTGGGATGAGGGTTTGTGGGTAAGTTTGAAGTACGGGTAAAACTTAAAGATTGGTCGAATAAATTCTAAACTCGGATGACCCACTGAGGAGATATAAGGGATTTAATTTTGTTTTTGGTTTTAAATTTTTAAAACTTTTACTCTTTCTAATATAATAAAAATAGGGATATATTTTGAAGGTTTAAAATTTTAGTTTTGTTAAAAAAAATTTATATTTCTAAAATGTCACGTGTTTTGCTTTGGTTTTTGAACTTTAGCGTAAAATCTTGGGTTGGTATTTGCGGTTGATCTTTCAATTAATCAATCATTTTACAAAGAAATTCTATGGGTTCATGTAGATATCGGTTAATTAAGCAAAATAATTAATTAAAAAATGTGTCAATGTCATATTTATGTTAAATAATTTATTGAAAAGGACAAAAATAGTTCTTTTTATATTGAGTTTTTAGTGACTAAAGCATTATATTTTAAATCTATGAAGATCAAAGTTTGTAAGTATGAAAACTTATCTTTAATTATGTGTTAGTATTTTACTTTAACAAAACTAATTAACATGTATTTTGAATTTTTTTTTTTGAAAAAAAAACATATCTTTAAATATTGTAGATTAAATTTGTGTCRATTTTTAAAATATTTTAAGAGAATGGGTTCAAACATTATGATGTTCGCCTACCTAAAATTTTAGGTTTTAGCACCATGGACATATATCTTAAATTCTGGATAATCATATATTAATAATTTATTGTATAAAAAATAAAAGTATACTTTAAATTTATTTAATGTTTTTTTTTTGTTCAACAAAATTTGAGGGTGAGAATT